AAAAAAAAAAAAAACGAAAGCAGATAGGTAGAATGGAAAGGTCCTCCACTGGAAAGGAATTTTCCTGATACTTCTCTTTTTATTTTCATTTGATTGACAAATATGCATGGTAGGGTTATTGCTAATAGGTTCTGGTGGCATAAATTAAGGACAAACTAAGGTAGTGACATAGTGTTTGGTATAACTTTCAAAATTTTGAGATTGAAAACTGAAAATAAAAACTTTGAACTTGCCATGCTAATTAGATCTCAATTGTTTGGTCAAACAAAAAAAAAAAATGGTAATTAGAATTTTTAAGCTGGAAATTTTTCTATTTTGAATTCATTGAATTGAAAACAAAAAATAAAAATGTGTTTTAGTTTTTTCTTATACTTTTCCATTTTATTATATCTATTATTTGTAAAGTGAAATTTTTTCATTGTTATTTAATGACAATTAATTAATACTAAACTGACCTTAAGAAGACTAGAAAAGGATAGTTAAAAATGAAATTCATAACAAACTGACCTTTAGAAAACTAGAAAAGGATAGTTTAGATAGTCTAAATGAATGCATTGTATTTATTTGACGAATGAGGTGGCTGAAAGTTAAATGAGTTGTGGTGAACAAAGAACCTAGCTCCTTTAATCCTCCACAAGAAACCTCTAGTCACTATCAATGGTATGTTTAGTTTGAAGGAAACAGAGCAGAGGTGAGGGATAATTTTTTTAACCAATCAAATTGTAAAGTTGGCCAAGATTGCAATCTGATAGGTCAACAAATTAATCCCTCCCCTTCATTTCCCTCAAACCGAACATACCCTCAGGTTTGGTTGTGTTCAATTGTATGACAAATTGTTTATTAAGCTACCATACAACCCTGTTCTCTCTTGGTTTTTTCCTTGCTTAAGGGACCTGCTCAGCTAAATGGTCCTAGTAAGGTTATGTTTGATTTGAGGGAAATGGAGGGGAGGGGAAATTTTCATCCAATCAAATTAAGATTTTAGCCCAATGCCCTAATTTAATTGGATGAAAAGTTTGCCCTCCCCTATTCCCCTTCCCTCCATTTCCCTCAAAACATACCCTAAGGGTTTTTTCCCCAATCTATTCTCATTTGAAACTTTTTTCTTAATGCAGGCTGTACCAAACATTGCAATGGTTGAAACATACACCAGATTGCTGCTCATTGCACCTCATTCATTGTTTCGTTCACATTTCAGTGTAATTTCCTTAAACCTGTTTTACCTCTGCAATTATTCTCTTTTTTCTGGATGGTAAAAAATCTGGAGATAATATTGGAATTTCTTAAGGAATTGGCATAGGAAAGTTGGGGGTTAGGCCCATTCGGGTTTGCAAATAAGTTTTCAAAGGAAAGGAGCTTCTTGATAATTAATTCAAATTATAGGGTCCAATGTGGTAATTATGTCTTGATATATTTTTTTTCTCTTCCTTCACTCTCCTGTCTTTTTTTATATTAGCATGTATTGTCACTTACTGGTGTGATAATAACAAGTTTAACATTTGA